TTTTATAATTTCTCCGTATAAATTGCAATATTAAATTATTGAATAAAATTTCATACTAAATTTTATTACTAAAATTATTATTTATTCATATATTAGAATTTTAAATCAAAGAACAACTAATCAGAATATTAAGAAAATAGGAATTTATGTTGATTTTTCAATTATCCACCAATTTCTTAGAATTAAATACTATCTACAAATTTGCATTGAAGCGTTCCTTGTGATAGTGATTTTAATACAATCTCCATCTTACTCTACAAGTAACAACGGAATAACAGGTAATATTTCTTTGTACACTTAATAATATACGGAGCTTTTGGAAATAATTTGTATATATTACTAATTTATTTATTTACGTCAGAATACATTTCTCTGGCCTTTTATACAACCCTGTTAAATATGTGAGCTACGCATGTAACGTGAAATAAAAGCTTTTAATATCTAATAACTGTGCAATTATATTTTTTAATTTACTTCAAATATTTTTTGGCATTTTGGAAAATGACCTAGTGATACAAACAACAATAAGCAACTAAGTCAAATAGAACTAGTTTCTAAATAATTCTGAAAATTATATTATTTTTTTTAAATATATAAACTCACATGAGAAAAAATCCGAAAACCCTCGTCTAACATTAAAGAGAAGAAAAAGAAGAGAGAACAGAAAGAATAGAGAGAGAGAGAAAAAAAAAGGAAGACTTATATAAAAAAATATTATTATGCCTACTACTTTTGTAATTAGAGAATACGATTAACGTATTTGGGTATCCACCGACCTTCAAACACAGTATTACTGATAAAGCACGGCGGTTATATGCTCCAAAATTGGCTCAACCAAAGTAAAATATTAACACAATATACAAATAAACAAAAATAAGAGCGAACTTTTTGTCGTATTACAAATATTTTTAGGAAAAATTAATTATTTTATAATAACATATTTGCAATATATTATTGAGTCTTGAATAATTGTCAATTCTTACAAGGCAAATCATTAAAACCTAAATACTCATAATCATTTTTCACAACCTTTAGAACAAATGATTCCAAATAATCACACATAACATGATGAATAATACTATATTCTGTTAAGGTATTGGTTTGAATCAATTGTTCAAATGTTGTAATTATGTCTGTTTCATATTCTATAATTTTGCAATATTTCATGTTGTATTGATTTACGTCATAAAATTTTCTCTGTAAAACAGAAGTATGAACGTGAGCTAAGTCTTCAAGAAACGATTGAGCTTCATAAAGTTCATCATTAATAAATAACAATGTGGAAAAATACTTTTTTCTAACATCATTAAGAAAATCAATAAAAATCTCTACCAGTCTCTCTGTTAATAATTCTTGACGTCGACATTTATTATCCATTGTGTAGTGTCTCAAAGTAATGAGAGCAAATAACATTTTTCTAAACATATCATTGGATAACATAAGTGTTTCATAAAGCTTAATCGCACAATTAATTTTATTTTCATATTTACAAGCATTAATTATATGTTCCAACATTACATTAAAATTACGAAGTATTTCAATATAGCGACATCTTAAAATAAGTGCAAGATACGACCTCATGAAATTATAATTATTCATATCAACTATTTGTAAAATATCTTTAAAATACAGTGATATTCCTTTTGTATATTCAGTTTCAACAGCTATATGTTTCCATGACATCCAACCAGAGTGAGATAATAAATGATTACACAAATAAATACCTTCATTGTTGTTATATTTCTTACTTTTGAAATAAATATACCTGTATAGAAAAAAAAAGTCATGTATGATAGCTCAAAATTATTATCATAAAAATATTATCTGTTAAATAAATAAAGAAATAATTAAAATTATGTGTTAACAAAATAAAATTTTTAAATTTAGGCAACTAAATGTACTAAACTATAAATCTTACTTGAAAGTATTTGTTCTGTCTAGTTGTTCAAAACCTAGTTTTGAAATACAATTTTCAACTATTCCTAATATATATAATTCAAGATCTTTATCAATATGTTTAATATAATTGTAGGATTCGTCAACCAGTTGATCCATTTGATCGATGTTATATTTCATCAATAAATCGGTTAAAATAGAACTTTTGTGTTCTGTTCCACATACTTTTCTATTTTTGTAAAGATTTGATGTTATTAATTCAGATTTTTTATTGAATTCTTTTATATGTTCAAATGTATTGACCAATCTATCAATATTAGATAAATTAAATAATGAGGCACCACATAACTTAAATGCGTATGTGTAAAAATAATTTATTTCACTATCTACAGTTTTAATATTAAGAGTAGTCGAGTCTATAATTCGTAGGTCGATGTTGTCGAGGTATTTTGCTGTTTTCAGCATTTTTTTAAACATATTTATTGAACAATTAAAAATATTAATTATTAGNAGCATTTTTTTAAACATATTTATTGAACAATTAAAAATATTAATTATTAGCTTTGTGCAATAGTTCAATTGAAAACATCGATTGTTAAAAATATGCATTTCACACTTATCTAAAATAAGGCCTAACATTACATTGAAAGTTTGCATTATGTTGGTATATTCACAATTTAAGAGACAAGTTATGAAGAAGAGCTTTTGTATAAAGTTATTTTCATCGATAATTTCACTCGTGATGCTTTTGGTGTTAATTGTGAAGTTCTTAAGTTTAATTTCTGTTTGTTGAATTGAGTCCCATCCATTTTGAACACGAATGTGATTTAATGAGTTAATTACGTATTTTTTGAAATCTTCACTTTGAGTATCACAATATACAACTAAAACTTGACTTAAATGCCAAATTAAGAAAAACTCATATAAAATTTGTTTAGACATTTTTTTAAATTTTATAAAGCGAAATTTATTATATGGTATTATTTTCAAGAGAAAAATAATCTTAAATTCTTTTTTAATATTTCTTATACTTTATTGAAATAGAAAAACAGTAATATAATTTTTTTTATAAAAACTACACTACGATTTGTGATTCTTTTAATATGATATTACTGTGTAAATTGGTTTCTACAAAGTAAAATATTTTTAGAAATATTAATGACGTAAATATATACATAAATTGAAGTTAAAATTGTTTCAAAATTCATTGTTTTACAAATGGTTGAAAAATTCTAATAATTGGGTTCTTTCCCCAAAATGAAAATTCCTTAATATTTTACAGTAAAAAATATAGGAGAGTGAAAGGCAATTCGATGTTTGGGCAATAATAAATATTTTGGATCAAAAAAAATTAAGCGATATTTCCATCCCCAGCACGGCGAGCCGTGGAGGACTGAATTTGTACCTGCCTGTGAACACGACCGCTTTGGTCTTATCCAGGGCAAGGTTCAGTCCACTTCCCTCCTGCTAGGTACAGGCAGTGACTTCGCTGAGCGCGCTCGTGTGGTGGTAGCGGAACGTGGAAAACTTCCTCGTAAGCGATATTTCATAGCAGAGGCCCGATAACCGACCTTTGCAGGACGCCGCTCGTAAGGGGTCTGATTCTCGGGCCTGCGGCGCTCTTGTAGAAGTTGAAAATTGCACTTAATTAAAGATATGATATTAAAGAAAATACATCGACAATTGCTTCATATATGTCCACCTATTGTACATAAAATGATGGTTATACTTCAGACTTCAATTGATCGTATGGTAATCGAAGAAAAATCAATAATTTTTTCCCAAATTATAACATCGGTTTTTTGTGTTTTCACAAAATTTATCATCTGGAGTTTATGGGTAAATGTCTAGAAAACACCTCGAAAATTATCTTTAGCGATTATCTACACAAAATTTATATTTAAAAAAAAATTCAGGGTATGTATTACTTCTCCAATCTGGTGGAATTGGCTACAAACAGATCATTTCTAGGAATAGATGCTTTACCAAAAATTGACACGAAAGATCTCTTATGCATGACATTTCCAGTCAAATTCGAAGATGATCGGAATAAAACAACAAGTTTACAAAACAACTAGTTTTTTATTGGAAAAAAATATATTAATATACATTTTTTGTCTCTATACTATATTGTAAATTATGCAATATTAAAAATACATATACAAATGTATTACTTTAATTACATTAGAGTTTTCGTACTTTACCCGTGAATGTGTTGATACTATTTGAAAGTTAAGAATAATTACACATACAATGATGTTTTATCGGAAAATTGTTTAGAGTATTCGAAATCCAAACGTAGATCAACCATTGAAGACTTGATGGTATCGTTTTGTTTAGAACAGTCGATCACGACTATGGGTCCACGTTTTTTGTAATTTATGTAATCCAGTAAAGAAAATGAATCTTTACAACTGTAGTACATTGTCCGCAATCATGCGTACGAGTTGTAAAACGTTGTGTACTTGTTGTTGTCAAAATCGGCGTTTTGGTTCTCGTACAGGTATTCGTCCGCGTTCAGATACGCTTTAATGTTTCTCAACGAACAGTGATCGAAATCTCCAAGAACGTATTCGTTTTCATTATCCATAGCAATAAGTAAATATCTGGTTTTTTCCAAGTTCGAATAGGTTCGCACCAACCACGTGTGATGAGTTTTCTGCGATACCAATGGGTTAACGGCAACGTCCCTGTGTTGGAATTGTAACGGCAGCCATTTCTTACAGTCCAGAATACGCATCAGACCCAGTTCGGTTTTAACGCTGGGTTCAAAATACTTTACCACTCATTTTATTTTCGATATTTTCAAGTTAATTTGTTTTATCAATGTTGCAACTTGCGCTATATCGTCTGTTGTAGTTGCCTGTGGAACAAATGTTATGAAAGTGTTGTTGGTACTCGATCTATTCAACACAAGTGTCTAAGTATTGTTTATCAGTGTGCGTTGGTATCGTTCGAAAAATCCCATGCACATAGACATTGGACACTGCGCCACAAATTCAGTCCATCGTCGAAATCGTTGTTGTGCAAATTTTGCGCATATTTCATCCGCCCGGATGAAATCGTTGAATGTCGTTGGGTGTGAATGAACAATATCCCTTGATGGTTGTAGCCATTCCAACATATTTGGTCTTGTCCACTTCTTAACCATTTATCACAAATCTGATTTCATCAAATAGGTGCATGAGAAAATTTTGTTACATAACCATTTCATTGACTGTTCCAGCTGGTGGTTTATCTAGTTTTCCCTCGATAGAAAATAATTTCGCACGGCACGGTAAATTTCTCCTTGTTTCGCACCTCGATACGAGTTTCATCATTATGTTTATACGAGTTATTATAACTCTGATGTTCTAGATAGTACTCGCATTTTACACTGTTGTCTTGCTAACATTTTTCCAACACGTGTAAGTGCTCTATCATGATTGACTCGATAATCCAACGATTTTAAAAATTTAATATTTTTCTTTGTTAGTTGTTGCTGCTGTGAAAGTGTCACACGATTGATCCGTTGCTCTGTCGTAGAGTATATGCCGTCACTCAAATGATGGTGCACTACACTCCCATTGAAACTCAAAGGTATTTAATGCGTGTCAACACGTTTTTTTAGTTAAAAAACACGGTCGTAAACCGAATAAAGTTCTCGAACCAGTGTTTCCAAACGATAAATTGTAGCTAGACTGTTGTTCAACGTATAATTTTTTATCGATGTCAATACACGAACTCCAGTATTCGACCAATTGATAGCGGGTGTGTAAAATCTATGGGGTGATCACATTTGATTATGCTTGACATAGTGTTGCGATCGGCTGTGAAAGAAATAACGTTTAGATCACCCAGTTTCTTATCACCGATTTCATTGCTGTTTTCCATGAGCAAACCAACCGTTGGCAACAATGGATTATCAAAATCTATTTGTTGGTACACACTGTACTTGTATTCTTCTCCGTTGTATTTGTCGGTGATTCGTTTCAGTAAATTGTCAAATTCGTACGATCCCGTCGTACGTTGTTCGATCCCGTTGTTGCCATATTTGCGTTGTTCGATTATAAACTCCAAACACAAGTGGCCACAATTTACTTCCAAGTTCACTACAGCCATTTCGATTGTTTACGGTTCCGACTGTGGTAACGTGTCACGACAGACGAAAAATGCCACTATAGACTTTATGGTCGATCGCTCGACTACCGAAATTTGCAATTTCAACATCATACAAGGCATGATTGGGTAGATGCGAAATTAGTTTTTTGTTTATTTCATCTATTTCATCTATTAGCGTCTATGGTTAAAGTTCGTTCCTAAGCCCGTTGTTCCAACACCTGTTCCATGGCGTGCGATGCATTTCAAAAAATAGACCATCATGCTACCTATCGTGAATTTTGAGAAAAGTAATGATGTTGCACCTAGTAAACATGGTAAACTATTGCTAAACACAATAAGTGCATTGATTTAGGGTCGTCAAATTGTGGAAAAACAAACTTGATGTTTACTCTACTGACCGATATCATCGGTCTTTGATTTGAAAAAGTTTACTCAAAATCGTTGCATCAGTGCAAGTATCAACTACTCGTGGGTGTTTTACGCGGCGTCCAAGGAGTGCAGCTGTTTACCTATGAAAACGGGGAAGATGTACCGTCGGTGGTCAACATCCTGCCCAATTCCATTTTTATATTAGACATTTATATTTAGATGTTGTCATGGAAAAACAAAATATAATGTGTGATTATTTTACACGAAGACGACACAAGCAAGTTGATGTATTTGCACGGGATGATGGACGATACAGATACAAGTTTGACACATTTATTATAATATGAGTGGTGATAGGGAAACATTGCTGAAACTATTGACTAATGCCCGGGAAAATGTTAAAATAAAGTACACAGAATTGCATCGTAGTGAAACGGATTCATTGACTTGCGTAAAACGTTAGTTGGCATCAATCATTGAAGCATTGGATAAAATTAACAGAGATTAAATGTATGGACCAAAGGTATCACCGGATGGAACATTAGGTGAAGCCAATAATATCTTTCTCGACAGAAGGAAATTTAATGTTTTAGATGAAAAATTCCCGCTGACTATGGGTCTTGTGGATTTACTGTTTTCGAGAAACCCTAGTAATTTTTCCAAATCGGATTTGCATGCATACAAAACGATCCTTGTCAAAACCGGTGTGCATTTAAATAAAGACGGAAAAAAGAAGGACAAAAGTATGTGAACACTATTAAATTACTGTTTGATAACGATGAAGGTGATAACGCAAACAATTCCTTACCGTTGTTTGAAAACAGCAGCAGCAGCAACATCAATGACACATTTATTATCGTTGGGGGTCTACAGTTGAGATTGAATAATAAGTAAAAAGATTAGGTGTATTGGGACGATCCTAATGAGCTCATGGAACAATTACGTTTATTGATATCAGCCCGGTCGACTGGCAGCACTGGAGTTTTAGCGGAAATCGTTTCTATTTTGGAAGAGTTGCTGGAATCAGGTTACATTGAACAGATACCATCGGCGTTATGAATAAGAACATTGCCAACGAACTTCACTGACAGGCCCGTAGGACGTTTGGGTTGGGTTTGGTGGACGATATGACGTGTAGTGTAAATCGTGTATGTAGTGCATTTAACACCAGAATCAACATTGGATTACTTGAAATATTATTGTATTACATAAGACGTAAGGTAAGTATAATTTAACCTATGTTTACGAACCTCCAAAAATCTTTTGCACAATAAACCATTAATAAATTAATATAAAATTATAAACTATAAATTCCACCATCAAGTCCGATCTTATAGATCTTTTTATTTCCTTTAATTTACATTTATATTTTTGGTTTATCATAAGAAGCTAACCCAAAAGAACAAGAAACTATTCAATAAACTATAGAAGCAATAACAGTGAACAACAACGAAAAAGATTGTAAAAAAAAAAATGTATAATAATTATGTATTTTAGATTAAGGGAAAAATTAGATTAAGAATGAAAAATTTAATTCATAAGTAGAGTTAAAATATTGGGTTATAAATTTTATTATAATTATTATTTTTTTTTTTGGGAGGGGGGGGGGAATTAAAAAAAGAATATCTGTTAATAACAAAAAAATTATTTTATCACTCTTAAGAGGAAGCTGACACAAACTAAATTGACCTTTCTTTATCTTCCATTTATTTAGTGCTGTAAATAACCAAAGTTAATTTTCTAATGTAATATTATATTATTACTTATAATATTAACATATAATATGATGTTATCGTTTGTACATGTATTATGATTATACAAGATACTAAAACAGGGTACTCTTATTTAAAATACAAAATAACCAGTTGATTATGGGATAAAAATACTAATTGTAGAGATTATTGAGTAACGCCTACACGCAGGGCCCTCAATATAATTAACCAATTAGAATAGAAAGTCTCAGCTTCCAGGATCACGATAGGGATAAAAATAATAATAAAATATTGTGAGTTATTCTTATTGGGTAGCTAGTCTCTGAGCTTAATGTCTTTGTTCTAATGAATATCGTGCCGGCGGACAGTACTAAAGGTCACAATTTTCAACAAACGTAAAAATATAGAGTGTTTAGAATATTTTACAAGTAAATTCAGTCATAGTATTTGTGCAATTAAATCATATTATTCAAAATTTGAATTTGTTTTTGTAAGTAATTATATTGACTATATGACGTATAGTGTTAATCGTATACGTAATGTATTTAATATCAAAATCAACATTGGATTACTTGAAATAGTATTGCATTACATAGGATGTAAGGTAAGTACAATTTAACCTATGCTTTCGAACGTCCAACAATCTATTGCATAATAAACCATTAATAAAAATTAAAGAGATTAAATTTGTTTGTACGAAGCGCCCGATGGTATTCATGCGGGTTCGTTAACGTTCGTGGTTTTATTTTGTCTTTAGTCTTTAGCTATGTCGAGGATAAGGAATGAGGTGAGTGGACTGTATGTTTGAATGTAGAATGAATTTTACAATATATAATTATAACAATTAAATCTTATATAAAATATAAAATCTTATATAAACCAATTAGGATAGGGGGGGACACTTAATACTAATGCCACAAAGGCGCTGATATAAACAAATAATAAACTATACAAGTTAGTAAGTCTTAGAAAGATAGATGAACAAACGTTATATATATCGTTTAAGTGAAACGGCTGATGATAATGTTGAATATTGAAAAGATCAATTGAAGTCGAATGCAAGTAGCTGACCAACGTGTACAATATGCTGTGAACGGTACTATGATGTATCTCAGAAAAAATATATAGACCCAACGGCGATAAACTGAACGCACAGGGTACGACAATCGGAAAGGTGATATTTTTCTTTTATAGCAAAACGAATATAAAACTACTGGCTTACAAACGCCATAAAGCTTATAGCAGAAGAAGCGTTAAGATGGCGGCGACAATGCAGACATAGAGAGAAGACCTACTACAACTCGATGTAACACAACGATAACATGCATAATCACAACACAATTTCCTAACAGCATATTCGACTGATGTGTATCCAACAAAATTAATAAAAAATATTATATAACTTTAAAAAAATATATATTAAAATTTCTGCGTTATTTTCTTTTTCGCATTTCCGTTTTATTTTTGGTTTATTACACTAAAAATATGAAGGCATATTTTATTTGTAACATAGGGGAGTGTAGTAAATAGCTGAGGAATTATTAAATAACTTCGATATTAGTATAATATAAGTTTTTATCACAGTAATAAACAATTTTTAAATTCTTAAGTAATATAATGTCATAATAAGGGGAAAGGCACGGTAAGCAATTTAATAATGACGAGAAAAAGAATATATAAAGAGAACACATGAAAAGTATAGGAAGATTGACGTTTTGACTAAGAAACTTTGTATTTTGAACAATTTAATTCATATCCACTGTGCTATTAAAATTGTGTATGTGTGTGGCAAGAGTCAAGGACGGACTGCTGATCCTTTAGTCGATTTTAACAATTAGTGTGGATGCTGGCTAGTTTTTGGGCTTAACTGTCCTTTAATAAGTATAGTGAAACGGTAATTGTGCTGGTGGCTGACGAAAAGTCACCACTCAGTCTGCTACTTTTGAGCTAGACCATTCTGACGGATCTTAACTATACAGTCATTTGACAGTTACTTTATGGTTATTGTTATGTTCTCCAAGATATGGAAAACAAACAGTGTTGCTACACGAAATAGAATTTTGTAGATAGATTATGCTCTATCTACCTATGACGCTTTCACCTTGTTTAATGAACATTTTTCTTTTTCCTACCAAATTTTTCTCCTTTTTTTTTTTTTCGAATGGACCTTGAAGACATTTCCGCACTATTACCGCTGTCATCAAATATGTTGTGTGGGTCCACGTGGCAAAGGACATAAAACATAATAAAATGACAAAAACACTAACTTTCCAATAAAAATTTAGAATATATAATGTGACTGAACAATAAATAATACAACACAACATTAATTCTTAATATTAATACAAATGAATAGGATAATGGAATTGAATGACATGGAATGAATTAGAATGAAGTAAAATAATGATATGGAATAACACAAGAGTGTAATTAGCGCATACTAAACCACCACTGACTAAATGATATCTATAGTGGGAATTATTCGCCCATCATTGCCCTAAATTCCTTGGTCTACACATTCTTGTGGCCGACGACAGTCTAACGACCATGTATTTTATACTCTACGCAATTACAAAATAATATTCAAGGGCTCTCAACATCTATTTTATCACTCTGAGTTGTAAATTTATTACTTAAATTCTAAGCTTCTGAGCTGCAGTAATCGTGCAACTAATGCATGAGGTAGAGTCCTAAGAAATGTTTATCTAAAAATAAATACTCAATACTGCACCCATATAAGCCTACTCATCAAAACAAACTTTCTGATATTCTTGACATGTTTGTAATCATAATACCTAACTTAGTAAACACTACCCACTGTACAATAATTGTTAATTGTACACTGTACATTAATTATTAATGTTTAACTACGTCGGGGGACATTTTTTTAGTGTTTCATACGTAACATCACTTTGAAACATCAATAAGCTGTTATATGGTTGTTTTTTTAGGTTAATACAAATTAAGTACAAAGAAAATGTCCATGTGATATTATTTTGACTTAATACAAATTTGGTACAAATGTATCATACATACTACGTTCTTCTGAAATATTTCACTATGTATTATGATAAACGATTGCTTAGAAATTTAATTTTATAAATATATTAAAAAACAAAATATTTTGTCATACGATACTGTAATTGCCTATCAATACCTGGAAAATCCAAAAACCCCACGTGACGTATGTCTTTATCTTTTATTTTAAGGGTTCGGCTACAAACTACCAACAACTCTGCAGTAGACGCGATGTTATGTTATGTGCAATCTTACAATTGTTTATGTTAGACAGTATACTTGTTTAATTATTATTAATTGTTTAATTATTATTAAGTGTGTTTAATTATAATTATTATTTTTTCTTATATTTTTTAATAATGGCTGAACAAACCAAAAAGATAAGTTATACAATTTACATATTTACACTTGTTATAATACCGCATCCACACTTAATAACATTGTTATATAAGTACATTCAGTGGTGTAAAATTTCATGGATTGCAACTTATTAATCAATTTGGTAAGTGGTCAGTGTATTTTAAATAACTCTTACAAATACTAACTTTAAATTTTATGATGTGACATAATTGAAGTCTTAAAAATTTATTTAATACAATGTATAAACGTATTTAAAGAAACATTTAATGATTTTTTAAATTTATTTTGTCAATAATATTAACAATTGATGTCTGATGTACACTTAAGATATTAAATTAACGAATTATAAAATATTTATATAGGGTTCCCTGAGCACACTGAATATAGTGTTGTACCAACGAATTGGGTCACAAAAAATGAATTAACTCAAGTAAATTATTGCTACTGGCCTCCAGGCACTGTTAACAGTGACGTTATACAAAAATCAGATGAGCCGGGGTTAACCTGGAAAATGTATAGTGTAAAAATTTATGGTGGAAATAAAACTTTTGGTAAGAATTAATACATATTTATATAATGTCTAGTGATTATTTTTAGCTCATCTATATACCAACTATTTTTTTTTAAATATAACTAATATATAACTATTTTACAGATAATTTTAATAAAGCATGGCATCAACAAGTTATTATTGAAGATTCATCTAATGAAACAGGCAATGAAGAAAATATGACTCTAAGACATAAACAAAAAGGAAAGCTTATCTCACAAAATGTATTGTTTAATGTAACTGATGAAAGTGACAATGACAATGGTAATTTTTTAAATTAACATAACTTTAACAATACTGTCAAACCAAAAATATAATGTGTATTGTATTTTTTAAGTACATATTTTATGAATAATTTTATAATATTGCTATAAACCATATAATTATTAGTATTGTATAATAATATAATTTTTAATTCAATTAATTAATTTGTTTAGATAATAGTTATAATATAATGGCTCAGTCATCATCCGCCACATTGAATATTGTCAAACCTTTGTTTGTATAATCAAATAGTAATGCTCTAATAGTTTCAAGTTTAGAAACTGATAATAGAATGTCTTATTTACTAAACCAATCAACATCTTCAGTCACAGATACATCAGTTGACCCTATAGCATCTTGTAGTTCATTAACTGAAAATGACAACCATCAACAACTCTGAGTTAATGCCTCCAGAACCCAAACATATTTGTTCTACAACGGACTTCTCATTACAGGTATATTAAATGGAAAAAATTNGTCTCCAGAACCCAAACATATTTGTTCTACAACGGACTTCTCATTACAGGTATATTAAATGGAAAAAATTAATTATTGTAAGGTAAAAATTTAAAGTTTTATGTGTCAATCTAAAAAAAGAATAATTTTAGAATTTTGATTATACTTTTATATTCATATTTTAATTAATAGTCATCAAATACAATGAACACTTTAAATCAGTCTGTTCTCCAACAAAAAAACTACGGTAATATTTATTTAATATTACATATTATATATATATATATATATATATATAGAATATAATAGGTATGCAATTATTTTCTTTAAATAAATGCATAGAAATTAGTTAAATTTTTCTATTGATTTACATACAGTTTATGGAGATGGCTTACATATCTAGTGGTGCTTTTATAAAAATACATTTTGATTAGGCATGAATACATTGGGGTTATTAAAAAATAATGCTTAGCATTATTTGTGATTGTAAAAATAGCAAACCACCTTGTTTGTAAAATACATTTTTCATTTTAGCTTAAATTTTTTTGTGTTTACTTCTACAGATCCAACAACGAATATGATGTTAAATAGAGTACTATTAAAAGTAGAAAATATTGAAAAATTTTTGTCTAAACATAAAAATGAAAATAAAAATGCTCTGTTAGACAATTCATTTTTATCAAAATTCCCCATTGATAATGTTGAAGGATTTTTATTGGTTGAAACTTGCATTAGTAATGAAATTGATTTTGTTTCAAAATTGGTAATTAGAACTTTGGTTAAATATGATTAAAGAAGATTTAATGACTAAATCTAGTCAACATTTTCACAAAAATATAATAAATATTTCATAGTTTTATCAAATTAAATCAAATTTGAGTTTTTGCTGTAGGAATATTTTATTAGATCAATTGGAGGAAGGGATGGCAAAGAACATATAAGAAGGTCTTTGACCAAACTTTTTACTAATTCATATGCTGGTAAATGTACGTGGACTGGTCGTGGAAAAAATATAATTACTAAAGTAGGAGATTCTGAATTAATCAGAATACTTACAAGTAATTTTACTATTTATTATACAGTGAGGAATAGATCTAACTGACAAATCTTATAACTTCAATTAACATATGGCTATAATTTTAACATAGTTTATGAATGCATAAATTATTTAAAAAAATATATATAGCTAAAACGTTAACTATGTCAAAAGTTATAAGAGTTGTCAGTTAGATTTGTTCCACTGTGTATAGTCTTGCGAATGTTTATTTTGTTTTACTTCTTTCTTGTAGAAGTTATTAAAGATAATGCCAAAAAGCCCATGACAAACTCTGATGTAGAAATAGAAATTGCCGAATGGCTTAGGCGTGCTAACACAAGAGTACAAAGGGACAAATTAAACGAGTGACAATATAATTTTTTATATGTGTTTATGTTTTTTTTTATACATTTATAATTACAGTTATGTTTTAAAATAATATTTATAAAAAGTTTTTATTTATATTTAAGAAAGTACCATTTTTATTTCTTTATTTAGATTGATACATTATCTATAATATATAATAAATAATAACACGGTACCGTGTTTCCCTCAGCCGCACATCACGTTATCAACCTAAATTAAAGTGTATCGGGATCTAAATCATAAGTGCACGATGGCCTAGTGGTAATGTTTGTCTATACGACGCCTTGGGTAAAATACCAAACCAAAGTCAATTCATGAATTTTTAAATCCATTTATTACAGATCTTTCAATATTATTAAATAATGGCTTAACTATCGGTAGAAATTTGTATCAGTTTGGTGTTGGTCATGTAATTTGTGATTCTTCAGCTAAAAGCTTTGTACTTAATGTGAAATCATTTAATGCTTATTTTGGATGTACCTCATGTACTCAGGAAGGTTCGTTCATAAATAATAGAATGTCATTTTTAGAAATAGAATCGCCTCTTAGAACCGATGAATCATGATTTAAAAAACGATTTCGTTCTAAAACACAGGAAGAATATCATAAAGGTAGTAGCCCTCTTGAATTATTACCTATAAAAATAATTAACGACGTGTGTCTTGATTTTATGCATAATGTTTCCCTGGGTGTAACAAAACGTTTGTTAGAGTTTTGGGTTAAAGGTAAGAAGGACGTTAGATTAGCTGAGGAAAATAAAGTTAAAATATCTAATAATTTAATGAATCTACGATTGTGCGTACCATGTGAATTTAGTCGTCTGCCTAGAGAATTAGATAGTATAGAATACTATAAAGCTACTGAATTAAGAATGTTTGTTCTACACTCAGGATTAATAGTTTTAAAAGGAAATTTAAATAAATTAAAGTATTTTCATTTTAAACTCTTGGTGTGTGCAGTAAGAATTTTGATATCTCCTGATATATGTCAAACTTCAAACGATTTAGCTCAAAACTTACTGAATGAATTTGTTTCTCAGTACTCTTCTTTGTATGGGGCTCATTCTGTGAATTATAACGTTCATAGCTTATTACATCTTCCTATATATGTTAAAAATCATGGCTGTCTTGATCATTTTAGTTGCTTTAAATTTGAAAATTATTTACAATACATAAAAAAATCAATAAAAAGTGCCAAATATCCTCTTTCAGAAGTAACTAATAGAGTTATTGAAAAACAAAAACATTTAATATCCAGTAGTATAATTCTTGATCCTATTGTCACTTTTAAAGAGATTATCAACACATCTACTCCTTACTTTAGTTTAGATGATAAATTATATGAAAAAATAATTTTAAAAGATCTAAAAGTAATTATTAATACATGCAATGAACGTGATAAATATATAATATTAAAAAATAGTGACATTGTTATGATTAACCACATTGTTAAACCAAAAAATGAATCATCTTTTATATTAATTGTTCAAAAATTTTTAAATCCATCTCCAATTTTTACTGAGCCTATTGTATCTTCCATATTTGGCTTATATACTATAAATACTAATAATTTATCTAATAATTTGTCAATTCATATTTCTGATATAAAGAACAAATGTATTTTTATTCATATATCTAATNAGAACAAATGTTTTTTTATTCATATATCTAATAAACAAGCAGTTATATCAACTTTAAATCATTCACTTTCAGAAATACCTTATTAAATTAACTTATTAATACAAGCTTTGGTATAAATTATTAATTATTCAAAATGCATTCATTTTTGTATATATTTTTTTAAAGTTCATTATATATTTATTATTACTAATTAAGTAGGTATATAATTTTTATATTTTATAAGTATGTTTACTATTTATTAGATTTAATAGTCTACTATAATGTTTCATATAATTTCAATATATTGTGATACTATTTTAATAATTTGTATAATATTGACATACATACATGGTTTAATATAGTTATATTTATTTTCGACGTTTATTGCGTCGTTATATATTATTTTTATAATTCTTCAACTTATTCAATTATATAATATGTTTCGAGTGATGTTGTTTTTGTGTGGTGGTTATATATTTAGTCTTAGTTATTATTTATATATTAATAACACCTATTGTTTCAATAAACATAATGAAAACAAATTAAGGTTGTATTTAATGTACTAAAAAAGATAAAAAAGTTCTAACTACTAAAGCCTAAATAAAATATCCCATTAATTTTATTTTTGTTTTTTAATATACATAACGGTTATAGGGTCATTCCATGTGAAATCATCTAACGTGTGTGCTGGTATAGTTCAGAAATTTATATCATAGACTTCTTAAAGGTCATTGATAACAAAAATAATATATTTTTTTTTTATTATTATTTTTTTACCAGATAGCGCATTTTTTATAATTAAAAACATGAAAAAACAGCCTATGTTCTAGAGCCTATAACTTCACATCAAAATAAGCTATCATTGTGGAACTAGCACTGTTTTACTCATATTAAATAGTACTTCAATTTCATTTTTAAGTTTATGAATTTTGAATTTTTTTGAACATCGATATTTTGATTTAAATTTTGCAGTATTNTTGTAATTTTGATTTAAATTTTTTAAATTTTGCAGTATTTGAAGAGCAAAATTTGAAGGTCAAAAAATTTTTTAATTAAAGTTTTTTTTTTCTTTATAGAAACTTTTAGTTATGTTCTTTTAACCCATATCATATTTGAATCAGTTTATAATTTTTTTTGTATCGTTTTACGGTCTTGAACACGCGTGATTTGCTGAAAATAGCCAACTTTATCATCTCATTACACAAAAGTGACTGAACGAATTTTTTTCAAATTTACATAGTACTTACCTTTAGGCAATTAAAACGTCTGGTGAAAATTTGATGATGGAGAAATAATTTTAACGCCACTTATAGAACTTACAAAATTTACAAATTTGCGTATTATGGGAAATCCATAAACTACGTAATTTTCAACATTTAATTTTAATTTTTTGCATTTATTCTGCACGAAAATAAAATACTACATACCATTGTAAGCAACTATTTTTAAAGACGTAATTTTATCAAATATTTCGTATTTTAGATAATTTNGACGTAATTTTATCAAATATTTCGTATTTTAGATAATTTTATTATTCTAAAAGTATAATAAAATGTGTTATATTTTTGAGTGTAATAGAGAATAATTTTAGCTTCGATGCGAATCTGAGAAGGTATTAATTTTACTATGATGTGTTTTTTTATTTTTTTTTTATTTTTTTTTTTTGTGTCTGTGAACGCTCAATCTAAGACGTAATTTTATCAAATATTTCGTATTTTGGATAATTTTATTATTCTAAAAGTATAATAAAATGTGTTATATTTTTGAGTGTAATAGAGAATAATTTTTTTTATATATTTCATTTTAATTTATTCTAAAATATAATTTAATTCTTTTTATACATACATATAAGTTTTATTTTTGTTTATATTATACCTAATTATTTTGTTCTTATAATTTACAAAATTTTTATACNTTTGTTCTTATAATTTACAAAATTTTTATACTATTGGATTTGGTGGACTTTGAAGTTATCTTATAATTCAGAGAATTTCCATTTTCAGGTATAAAACTGTGATGTTGACGAATAGCAGGACATTTTTTGCAGTTTTATACCGCTCACCTAAGTGGTGTTCAAGTGAAAGTAGTTCTAAAANCACCTAAGTGGTGTTCAAGTGAAAGTACCTCTAAAGCAGTTATATATAAGAACTCAATTCCTTTTATATTTAATTTACAATAATCAAACATTGCTCTTGGCGTAAGAATATGATTATTCGAAGTTCTTTGCAAACTAGCTTTATAGACCAATCGCTTAACTGTACCACCTATCGCATTGACTCTTACCGTGTGCGGTCGCAAAAAAATTCCATTCTGCTTCTAAGCCAAAATCTGCTGTGTGATAACATAGATTGACCTATATTTTTTTAATTTTTATATTGGCTGATAGCTCCGTCAGAAAAGTAGTGAATTTTTTTTATATTTGGCATGAAATCTTTTATTTTTTTAATTAAGTGAGATTGATAAACATAAACCGCATCTGTATTATGTGTCAAATGATCACTAATAATACAATAATTTTTTTTTTGTAAAGAATCAATTGCGTTAGATTTATAATAAATTGTATAAGGATGTAAAGTGGCTTGAGAATTTACCCAGTGGTAGCTTTGAATTTCATCCTGGATCACGAACGTGAAATTCTCAGCAAAGTCGCCTAACACAATACACTATTTACAGCAAGAGAGTTTTTTTTTTCACGTAAGTACGTAGACTGAGCTTATGAAATGAAATGGTGTTTTTTAACAATAGGTAGCTGCTCAACTAATTTTTCCAAAAATTCTGCTCTATTTTGAGTAATTTTGACAAGTGTTGTACGATCTGTGTGCACCCACTGACTATATACTATTTGATCAGTTATCGTGGTAGTATCTAAATTAAGCATTTGACGTTTGAGATTTTCAGGTCCAGGGCATCGATTACAATCATTGAGCATACATATTTCGTTATTAATATCACAGACAATACTTTTTATTAAATCGACTAAGTCTATATTTAATTTAGCCCCTTCAACCATAAGTTTTATATGTGTGTGGATCACGCACACGCATACGGAATGTGTACCACTTGCTCCAGCTAAAATACACCATTTAGGTCTTAATTCAGCAAATTTAGAAAAACCAATTTTATCATTAGGATTTTCCGTTTTGTAATTTATATATAATTCTTTTAAGTTACACAAAATCAATCTTTTTTGTTTAGTAATTTTTTTACCATCAGCATCTTTTACATTAATGACGTCTTTCATACCGCGACATACCCTGCTATAATCGTCATTATGATAAAAGTCATCAATATTTTTTACTACATTTGAATCAATTACTCAACCAGGTTTTTGAACGACAATGTCAGGTAAAACACCATGAACATCGACCAATTTTTTTACCTTTTTCACAAAGTATTCTGTGGCACCAAACTCTTCACAAATTTTTGAAACC